TATCTAATTTCTACAAATAAAAGAATTAGCTGTTATTTTTTCTTTCAGCAGCATTACATGTATGATATTTTGGGCTGCAACAATGAAGTTGAATACTTTTCCAACTAAATAAAACTGCTTTTTTTCATTGTACTAACTACAAATTAGGCCTACTGTTCATTTCCCTAAGAAAATGAACTATTTCCCACATAGAGCCACGGCTATTTGGGATAATAACTGCTGATTAACAAAATGTACCTTCTAAAATTCAACTAAACACATATACAGATAGGTGCATTTTTCTTATATTTCATTCACTTATGTACAGAATTATTAAYGAAACTGTCTGGTGAACTGTGTATGGCATTTAGCTATATGAAAATTACCAATGGAATGGAAAAATGAAATGACTGGCATGTGAGCCGCAGCTTTTGTTAGCCTCCAGATTCATCAGTTTTTGATAATGACCACGATACTTGCTATTCAACTTATAAGGCAAGCTTACAATCACGAAGAACCTTGTCATTACAGGGCCAAAAATAGGCASTGTTCCCTTGTATTCCGATATCCACAGCTAGAGTATTCACATAAAAGTGGAGAAACAAATCCCTCCTGTGCTTGAGAGCAGCTACTTACTCGCYCTTGTCTCTGCTCCACTTTCTATAAAATGTGCATTGTCAGTGAAAGAAGCTTTTCCCTGATGCTTAAGGTATTCACCCTACATGTAGGTTCCTTGAAGTACATTTATAACCTCAGTGAATTTCTAATTTATACYGCAGGACATTGTAATATAAAGAAGAGAGCAGGCAGGTCATATCCAAAACTTCTACCAACTGTCTATAATAAAAAATAATACAAAAAAAGAGCTGTCTATTACAAGMTAAAATTATCTCTGGTAGAGGAAAACCTTTATTGAATCTGATCTCCCATGACCCACACTAGTGGGTAACTTTACCAAATAAAAAAACATGCCGACATGGCACTACCAAGTCCTGCAATTTCACTAGTTTAGATTCCAAACATCTGRGATTTTTTCCTTACTCTTCTTTTAACTTCTGAGTAGAAAAGTTACTTACAGAACTTCAGTCAAAGAATAGCCTCTGATTTACGTCAATATTTTTTTAAATGCATTGGACTCCATACATATATATATATATATATACACATGTATGTGTATACACACACACACACACACATATATATATATATCTTGGGATGCCAGGAAGGTTTAACTTTTTCTCATGTAAAGAATTAGTTTTTTTACTCAAAACCAATACTGAATTGAAGGATATCTAAAATTATCTAATATTCATGATTTTCCAGACAAACAAGCAAGCAAGCTATTCTCTAATTGAAACGTATCATTTCACTTGTTAATGACATATTAGAGCATTAATTAATGTCTGTGTTAGAGTACTGAAAATTCATGAAAATAATGTTTTAACTTACTCGATATTGAATTTGGAGTGTGTATGCTAACATAAGTATTTGACTCTTGTACTGAAACTTTCAAGGCCTGCAGAACACACCACCAATGAACTGTAACTTCTACGATGTCTAGATGTTACCACCTCAGAAGCAGGTTAAGATAAAGCTGCTTGATTAGAAACCAATACAATCTTGAATTCAATCATTTTCTTTGATTTTTAATCACTGGGGTTTTTTTAAGTCATTTTTTTTAATTAAACATAGTGATAGATGAGGCAAAATGTCCTATCTTTTTTTTTAAATGTCAAGGAAGGATTCAGATATTTATACATCTGCTAGATTGGATCAATATCCCCAACTGTTGATTAACATGGTGGTTTTAAGGGTCACCACTGTCCTGTTTCCTAATCCTAGAAAGCACGTGGAAGTCAAAGCTTGGCTTCTCAGCAACATGCCGCAGAGCTGTTCCTGCACGTCGAGAGCTCCAAGCACAGAACATCGTTGCGCCGTCGCACCCGCTCAAGGAAAGTCAAGGCTCCAACGACTGCGCTCATCTTTGACTGGACTTAGACATCAAATCAGTCTCTTCAAAACACAAAGTAAAGCCACAACCAGCAACAGCTTTATTCTACTGTGATTTTTTGATGACGCAAACTTCAGATATTCTTAATCACAGTAAAATGGCACAAAGCTAAAGTACTGACCTAGACCCAGAAATAGTTGTGGGATTTTTTTTCCCCGACGAACCTTACTTTTTCTCCTGTCACCTAAATGTCAGTACTCATCCTTACTACCAAGAGTATTTTAAAGATTTAACCAGCTCTGGAATATTTTTTCCTCTGCTTTCTAAATGTGAGCAACTGTTCAGATTCATTCACTGACTAAACTCCGTGATATCCATATTTAATTTCTCAGGTGAAAATTTGATTCTCACCCACAAGATTTCAAGATAAAATACTTCACTGTCACAGGCCAGAATCTAAAATTTGTCTTGTGAAAAAATGAATAGCCTTAAGATATAATATTCTGTGTTCTTACTCAAAGTAATTTAAAATAGTAATTACTATTACTAGTAATTAAAAAGTAATTAAAAATATCCGTGGTGACCAGGCATAGGACAAGAGAAAATGGTCACAAACCGAAGCATCAAGGGTTCCACAGGAGTTATATTGGTTATTTCAAGTCTGGGGGGTTTTGGACTTTTCCACTGCTGAAGTCAGCAGTTGAGTTGCTCACGGCTCTGAGCACAGCTCAATTTTCTCTCCCTGGAACAACCACGAGCAGCCTGCAGCCTGTGACTTCAACATTTCACTTCATGAACTGAGTGCTTACTCAGCAGGAATCCAGAAGGCAAAGCATGATTTCACTTGTCCATACTAGCACTTTATTACCCATTTTAYATAAGAACCCATAACGATAACAAGTGTATTGTTTGACATGCAGCAAAAACATATGGGCAACCAACAGATATTTCGTCTGACCCCTGTCAGATCAATTAATTTCCTTAACAGAGAGGAAAGCTTTTAGAACAACAAATCAAGACAGCAAAGAAATCCTCTCAAATGTCAGAAAAAGCCAAAGAATAAATGCTGTGAGGAAATGAACTGTATTCAAAAAATAAACTGCATCAAAGTCATTCTCTAGACTACTGCTCAAGCTTTGTTTTCAGTAATGTACAGTGTCACATGCAATACTTCACAGTAATTTCATGAAACCATATGCTTATCAAAAGGAGATGGCATTATTTTATTTATTATTTATAGGCTACCTATTCAGAGTGCTTGCTTGCTATCCATTTCATTTGAACCTTAAATTTTCCCCCCACAATGCTTACTAAAATGCTTATTAAAAAAATAATAATAGACAGATTGACTGATGACATCAGTTAAAGCCCCAAATCTAAACATGAAGCAAAGTCAAACACAAACAGCAAGAATGATGCCCAGCTAAGTTTTATACACTGTACTTTCTAATCATCTGTACTTTTATAGAAACACATCAACTTGGAAAATGTAATCTTAGTGTTTTTTAACATTTTTGATCATSTGGGATCACCTTCAGGATCAACAGGCATGCCACGAATACCAACTGCACATGATCTTAAACGCAAACACAATTTTGCTGCAGCTCAACTCCATTTTCTAGTCGCATGACAAGACCAGATGAASATTGCATAAACCAAGGTTTACTAAGACAGTTCTGCTGTAAGCCTGGGTCACCATACTGCAATCTGTAGACATTCAACTTCCTTTATTCCACATAATATTCTCTATTCTCTGCTGAACTAGAGATTCCTAAAACAAAAATTTTCAACTCGCTGACTACAAAACATGTAAAGTGAGCAAACTTAACAACTACAAGTAAAACACAGATTAAAAGTTCTTTAATTTATGTTTATTCCTCCATAACTCGTAACTTCACTGTGATCCCATGATGTGGGATGAACCATTCCACCTGGTCTAAGAAAAGGCCTATTGCCACAACGTGGTGTGCATCCAACCTGCGCACACGWGTGGCGCCGAGAGAAGCCCTGCCCTCTCTGGCCAACAGTGAGGTGTCTATACGAGGTGTTCATTTCAGTAACTATTATCGGAGGTGGAAATACAGCCTCCCTTCATGAGAATGCTCTGGTGGACTAAGGCTGCACTAAGAGTGTGGGAGAGGGCTACCCCCCGCTTCCTACTCTCCTAGGAATGACAGTTGTTTTCTGGCCAGAATGCTCCAGATAGCTTTTTAGGACCGTGATTTATTGATTTAAAAATCAGAAAGAATTTGTTTAAGTTAGTATATATTAGGTTTGTGCATCCAGTTTACTATTCTCAAGTACTTATATGTATTTACAACACCTCTTGTATTGGCCTGATATTGAGAATCTCCCAGCATCCATTATTGCTTTACGAGGGAAACATAAATAAAAAATGAAAACGAAACCAAAACCAACTCATTTTTTCTTGTTTATTGGAGAATTAACAGAATAGTTGGTGCTTGGAGGCATGATTTCACGGACTGTCATAACCAAGACACACTTAGTGACACAAGCAGGTATGCCAAGGTCCAGCACAGCTGAATAGTCAGAAGTGTGTGATAGGAACATTTCAATTAAAGAAAAGTCTTTCTTAATAAGTCATATATTATCAGCTGTCCTTGTACATTAAAGAGCAGAAATATCAGGCATATAAAGAGAAAACTCAGGGCAAACTGAGAGAACTCAACTTTGGCAGAACACCACTGGGTGTCAGCTCGCAAAGCAAAATAAAAATGATTATTCTAAGAAATGTAGAGGTCACTATGCCAGACTTTCAGCGTGTCCAGTCAACAAGCTGAGATTAAATTCAGATGCAGCCATTCAAATTCAGTACAGTGTTGGTTTCTATTTGTTAATTTGGGGCAATATGCATTTCTTTTACATTCTCTGCCAAATGTGAGTGATGGTTTTAGGTGTAAGATGTAACGAGGTGTCCAGGTAGACAGAGACTAAGCAACCCTGCGTGAGTGTCCGACTGCTCCCTCACGCTATCCTGGTCCCAGGGAAGGGTGTTTCAAATGAAGGTTTAACTGGCCAGAAGGAAAGTGAAGTACAACGTGAATCTCACCTCTCCACAGTCATTGCCCTCTAGTCAGATGGTTCCCTGCCATTTCATCACCCATGTTCAATGGTGTCACCACCCAGGGGCCTCTGTTCCATCCTGTGATGTCACATTTCTCGCCTTAGGGAGTCACAGAAGAGTTCTCCCAGATTCCAGGCTGGCTGTGATTGGAGAGAGAAGATGGATTTCTTTTTCTTTTCATTACTGATTAACAAAATAACCAGTCCTTTAAGGGCTTTAACTTATAAACGGCACTGGTACCAAGCACGCACAATAGGGTCCAGTGCAACCAGAGGATTCATGGTCAATTTGGTGTTAAAGACAACAGATTTACACAACTGTATATTGAAATTCATCTCAAACCAAAYGGCAATTAATTTATTGTTGTCAGTTCCTGATATTTCTCAATGATGAAATCATTGCAAACTGCAGCTCAGTTTAAATATAAAGGCTTTAAAGATAAATTTTCTCACAGCAGAAGAGAATTAGCACTCAACCTTTCATTTACTCTGAAATTAACCTATTAATTTTTGAAGCAGGATGAGTGGGAAACATTAGTTAAAATACAATACTACCAAACTAGATAATTGTTGGCAACTTGAGTCTTTTTATCGGACGGAAACACACAGACAGTTCACAGCAAGACAGAAATGTCAGTTTAGTTTTCTATTTTATAAAGAAAACTGAAGATTTGATAACGAAATCTTTGAGCAGTTTTTTCACCTATCAAGCACGTCTCCATCACCATCTTCACCACTCGGGTTCAAAATGATCTTCATCTACTCCTTTTCATCTCTTAAAACACTGGATCATATCTGAAACTTTGGGGTTTTTCTTTAAGACCAGTACATGTAAGATTCAAACTGTCTACCCAACTAAAATTCTCATTTTCCCTTCTCATCAGTGTAGTCCATCTGGCTTCCCTACCAATCCATGCATATCCATATCTATATCTATCTAATCCATATCTAATTCATCACTGGTTGCCAAGATATTCACTAACTGTACACTGTTTTTAGTGATCCTTTCTTCAGCAAATTTACACCACTTTTTTTTGTCCTWTCCTTATCACTGCATGCCATTTTAAAATAATCCAACCAGATCTTTGTTAAAACCTTTTTAAAAGTCTATTTCTTCAATTAATCCTACAGATAGTCAATATAGTCTGCTAACTTACCTAAAACCAACTCCCCTCTTACCAGGTACCATTTTAAAAAGAATGTATTTTTACTGTACGCATACTTTTTTATTTCTTGCCCACATTCTATCTTGCCCTTTCTATCTAATAATTATTTCTGTTGCCACTGGATCTACTTGCAACTTGCAAATACAGAAGCAGAGCAGTCAGTCATACAAAAATCAGGCAGACAAAAGGTCAAGACATACAYTATGTTCAACAAAATAAAAAAGAGTAACAGTCCTCAAGTATTTGTGACTTTCTGTTTTGTTTAGTTTGTTTAAATTTTGTTTTTGAAAGGTGAAATCTTAGAAGTATACTATATTTTTCAGGGAAGGCAAAGGCTACAAGCACTAACTGCAACAGGCAACAGAAAAACAGGTAAGAGAGATCTGCAAAAAAACGTTTAGTGTTAAAACAGATTAAAAAAAAACCCATAGGCATTGAGTAGCACTGGAGGATTGTAAGGATCGGAGCTTTATGCTGAAAGTGTTGTCCTTAAACCCACTGGTGTAAGCCCTTGTCAGTCCCTTTATCTCCTTCCCAGTTGTCTTTCCCAAGCTTGTACGGCTTGAACTAGGTCTATTATTTGTGCAAGTCTGAAACTAGAGAATAGCAGAAAACGGGAGAGCTTCCTGAAAGGAACCTGCCTGAAAGTTGCCTTGAGACTACGACTTTCTGCACTTGTAGATGCCTCACATGTTCATGGGCTAAATGACAAATAAACAGCAGTTTTAGAAATTGAAGTTCTGCAGTCAACTTACAAATATTATAGCATATGAGTTTATCAACAAACTTTAATTCCAATCTAGGTAGGCTGCTACTAGCAGTAAAATGATGTTCATTTAGCTCAAATTTGCCCTCTTCTCAGTAAGATTACTCACACTATCATATACTATTATAACAACTTAATGTAAAAAAACTAGTCTCATCCAGCAGCTAGGAAACAGCACTGGCAGGCTCTCGTTTCTGCCTATACCAGTTTTCAACACTGATATAGAGATAGAGCTATTTTTCTTTTAGCATAAGATCTTTGTCTGTGTAAAATCTACAAAGACTGGAACAAATACGTGTAACATTAAAAACAAATTAGAAGTTTCTTTATTCACTGGGCTGTAGAGCAGGCAAGATTGCTATTAAACACAGCATCTCAGGTGCATTTGGAAGGGCTGATCGTGCCACTCGGTCATTCTGCAGGAGTCCCTCAATCCACCCCAGCTGCCCCCAAGTCAAAGCAGAGCTGCTGCTCTTTGCACTTCCTTCCCGGTTTCACAAGATCTGATCTTCCAGWTATAATATATTTGGCCAATTGGCTTTCATTTCATCTTGGGAAGGAATTCCTCTCACTGCACGCTAAAAACATGCTTAAAACTCAAGATGGGACAAAGGTCAGTACCAAGCAGGAATCAGCTTTTCTACCTCTGTAAGTAAAAATGTATGACATATCTAGAAGGCCTGTAAACCCAACAATCTCACTGACCAAAGGTGGGGGGAGCAACCCAGGTACAAGTACCAAGTGTAAAACAACCATACGCATCACATGACCAGAATGGGGAAGAAAAAATCCAAATCTTCCAAAATTCTACATAAGAATTTTTAATTTCAAAATAAATCTGCCTCAAAATTAATGCATTTAAATATAGCAAGCGGCCACATGAAATTGCAAAGGACATTTCAGGCTGACATAAGTAGTTTTCTAGAAWCTGTAAAGTCATTTCACAAATAAAAAGGTGAAATTTATCTCCATTAACAACATTTTTGCTTAAATATATTTTATATATATATTTMGAGTTTTCAAGATGCTGCCTTTCGATTTAGCACTCTCAGTGTGTTTGTGTATAGAAAAGACACCACTGATTTGTTTAGAAGAAACAAAGAAAGAAGAAGAAGGAAGAAAACCCTTTTCAGTGATTTGGCCATCGGTTTCCTCCGATTCCAGGAAGCCATAAACTTCCTGCTTGCTGCACTTTCTCCTCCCGTGCCCATCCGCCCTTCTCCCACACGGCTGGGGAAATTACATTTACAGAAGTGCAGATTTCTGAGCACTCCAGAAAGAAAGTACCTCTTGCACACACACACATTCACAAAGCAGTAGAACTGGCAAGGCATAAGTTTTATATATAAATGTGAACTATATTTAAACACAAGGTCAAATCCTTGACCCCTCATCCTAGACTGGTTGATGCATTGAAGACAAAGACTGAGGGGCACTACGCCCTTCGGGAGGTCTCAGCACAAGCAGGACTTGGCTTATTTTTCAGTCCACCAAAATTAATTGTAATCAAATATATTAACTTTTCTCCRAATTGTGTACATTTATCAGCACTATTTGCATATGTGCAAACGATGCAGACTAAAAGGGAGTCAGGCCTGAAGGAGGAAACACTATGCCACTGACTCAGGGATAACTGAGAGTCGAGCAAAGCTCTTTCTTTTTCTTTTTTTAAAAAAGTACATGGTTCCAAATGAGATACCAGGCTGTATACATTGCATGTTTCCAAGCAACCATTCCAAAAATGCATGAAAGCTCTATAGAAAGCAGGACAGGCGAAACAGTCATCAGTACCCCTATAGAGCTGCCCTTCTCACTGCAGAAATTGGGAACCAAATTATTCCTGCTGCACAATTATCAAAGAGGCTTTACATTAAAAGAAAATCTTCACATTAAAAGAAGTATAATCCTAAATATTTAGTTGTGGTCTTCCTACAGCTGTTATAGTAGCATTCTCCTTTTATCCACTCTTTTACTGTACTTCTCAAATGTCTTTTATATTGGTTGCTATTTAAACTGTTAAATTGTTTTTCATTTCCATGATTTAATAAACTTGTATGATTTATTAAATATTTTACAATGTGCTCCTGAGGTAACTGCAATAAGGCATTATAAAATCAAGGTCTGAAATAGAGYTTTCCCATTGAGTTGCTCTTTGACCTTAAATAACTTGCTTTCTTCACACTGAAAATGATTAATGCCATTTTCATTTATAGATGTAAGGGTCTATAAAACTAGGAAGTGTTAATCATGAATAATCTAAACAAATCTTAGTCAAGAAGATACAAGAAAATAAAAGCACCACCTAGACACTGCACCTTCTTATTCAGATTTACAGTAATTTCTTTTTGCCACATCTAAAGTATAACAGGAAAAAAAACCAAATACACTAGTTGTGTATACTATCAAATTTTATGCTACTTTGACAATTAAGAGAGTTCTGAGCATGATTTTAGACAGCTAGAATACATATATAACACTGCAATATCTCATATCTCTACGTATAATGAAAAATACCCATAGAAAATTATGCACCAACATAGAAAATATTATGGAAAAGCAAACTTGTGCTCAGCACACTATACCATTAAATCTGACAGTATGGAATAGTTGCACTGTTTAGATGTTATTTCACCTCTAAATCTTATTTCACCCCTTCCTTTACAGCCACCATTATTGGCCACTCTAAGTGGCAAAACAGTGGCCTGAAACAACAATCCATTCAATTCCAGGTGCAACTGTTGTATCACATGAGAGTTAATCTAAACATAAAAAACCCCATTCATACGATTGTAGAAAGATTCTTCAATCTTTTAAATAGTCCCATACCTTTTTGGAACTTAATTACAAATAAGCATCAGATGCATATTTAGATGCATACACTTCTTCCTAACAGTAAAAAGAAAAAGTCAAAGTACATTTTTGTAGCGCTAGCGGTTAAATAAAAAAATAATTTACTATGAAGCATCCACAGTGCAGGTTTCAAAGAATGTATTTCCAACATCCACTATCTGATGGCTCAGGAGCAAAGGACTGTTAGTGGATCTGAGTTAAATAAGACAGCTCAGGAGTGGATATAAGCAGAAGTCTATTAAAGASCGTCAGATCAAACTAGAGAACAGGAGGATTTTCTTTATGAGCACATATTTGTACTATGCTGAAAGAAAAA